CAGCCTAGCTGAGCTTCGGGGTTCTGCTTCATGACTGTGTGTTGGATGAAGCTGTGCTACGACCCCTTCATGAGGCTTTGGATGAAGCTCACATCTGAGCCCTGAGACTTAATGCATTGGATGGCGGTCTCAAGGGAAGACACATGCCAAGTACAGCAAGTGCTTTCTTGAAACAGCCCTGCTGCTCAGTGCGGTGGCTACAGTGGGGAACCCCCCCCCCTTTTTTTTCCACTCTGGCCCTGGGGCTAGGAAGAGGAATGAAGGAGAAGCCCAGAAAGTTGATTGGCTCTTGCTTAGCCAACAACTGAAGCAGCTTCTAACTAGTTATGTTTCCCAGACTGAGATCTTTGACCAAAGATGCTACTTCAAATAGCCCACACTATACCAAGGCTGAGGTGCACACTGCCATACTCTTCAGGAGATCTTAGACCCTTAGAGTGTAAAGGACAGGGAGAAGACAAACCAAAGGGGGAGTGTGTGGAAGGTACTGGCAAGGGCGTGATGCCTCCCTTGGCATAATAACGGCAAATGAAAACATAGACAGTCATTATTCTTAAAGTAGGTCAAAAGCTTAAGGACCTTAACCGTTCACTTGAAGAAAAAAAAACCCAGCACCAAGACACAGAGAAGTAGATAAATGACACAACAGCTCAGAATGAACTATCAACAAGCCCAAACAACTCAAATGAGTTGGGGATATACACCTATAATCCTAGCACTAAGGAGACTGAGGCAGGGGGATCATGAATTCAAGGCTACCCTAGGCTGCATTGTTAGGCCCTGTCTCAAAGAGAAAAGAAAAACGGAATTATTCTCCAACCCCCAAATAATTAAATGAGCCGGGTGGTGGTGCACGCCTTTAACATGGCAGAGGCAGGGTTAGGCAGATCTCTGAGTTGGAGGCTAGCCTGGTCTACAGAGAGGGTTCCAGGACAACCAAGGCTACACAGAAAAACCCTGTCTCAAAAAAATTTAAATTAATACAAATTCCAAGATCACTTGATAGCCTTTTTTAATCCACTCTGCAAAATATTAAAAAGATTACAATCAGTTTATTAACTAGTGCACCCATGCAATTGAATGCCAAGCATTCATTAAAAAAATTCTTTTGGAAAGCATTACAGGGCCGTGGGAAAGTTCAATGTTGAAGTTTTAAGCATTAGCAGAAATATGAATAAATAAAACTAATTAAAATATACATGAGAGAGAAAAGAGGAGAGGGACTTGACTGAAAATGTTCACCCTCACTGTCTTTGTATGCTGAAATGAAAACTATAAATGGGCCAAATTTTCTTCCTTAAACTCCATGGCAAATGAATAGGTGTTATTTTTGAAGTTTAACTTTTCAGCCGGAGGGGGAGACGATGAGAGACGAGGATAAGATTGTAAACAACCAAAAGTCATTATACATGTGCATGAAACTATTGATTTCTTTAAAGCTTCATCTAGGAAGGCTTAAGAAACACATCATCAGAAGGCATGGTGTTGCACACCTGTGACCCAGTCCTCGGAGGTCAGCTTCACCATCAGTGACATGGCGAGCTGGAGCCTGAGGCCAGCCTATGCATACTAATCAGATGAGCCCAGAGTGAGCATCTGTTTATTGCTTATGGCTCCTCATGATCGGCTGACCCGCCCTGTGCATCTTTTTGGACTTTATTCTGAGAACTGACCGGGCTTCATACTTCAAAAGACAATATTTGCTTTTATTTGCCTTTGATTTAAAAAGGCAAGAGGCAAAGCTCTTTATCAAAGTCCATCAGATGACTTTAATCCAATTATGAAAATAAATTTACCCTCGACCTTACATTACTTCAAAAAGAGGAATTTTTATGCCTTTGTGATTTCTGCCCAGTGTGCCCATGAGGGAGCCTCGGACCAGCCCCAGATGCTGGGGTCAGGAGGAAGTGTCCTCAGAGGACCCACCAGCTGTATCTTCAAAGAAACTCATAAATGCTGGGACAACTGGGCATTCCCAGAGTGACAGCCAGGGCCTCCCGAGACTCAGGTAGGGAAAATAATTCATCCCTCATTGCCATCCTACTGAATTCTGCACTGGGAATGACACGGCCATGTGTAGAATGAAGACATCACCTTAATCTCCCAAGTGTCTTAAATAGTTTACATCAATACAAGTGGACCGCCTTTTCCCCCTCTCATGTACTTTTAACTGATTTTTAATCATAAAGCCAATTCTGAAACAAAAGAATTCTCACAGTATAGAAGATAGACTCTAGAGTGGCCGCTCTCCCAGGAGTCTGGCTGGAGGCAGCCTTCAGTTTCTGCTGCACCCTTCCAGATGCTTTCCACACGTGCACACAAAGCTTCGGGTGTTGGGTGTCTTGTGAGCACAGGAACCCCTTATCTGCACTTTTGCCTTCTGTGGTTTTGGCTTTGGTGACCCACTGTCAGCAGTGATCTGTGAACACTGAGCTCAGAATTCCAGAATAAACACTCATTCCTTTTAGATAGTGTGCCATTTGGAGTAGTGTGATAAACACTGTGCTGTGCTATCCCACATATGTGCCACACAACACAACCAGGCCTACTACGAGTTTTATCTAGAAGCATCCTGGTGCCCGGTCATGAGGGAGGCTTGGGCACCCAGGTGTGTGTGTGTGTGTGTGTGTGTGTGTGTGTGTGTGTGTGTGGGTGTGTGTGTGTGTGTGTGTGGGTGTGTGTGTGTGTGTGTGTGGGTGTGTGTGTGTGTGTGTGTGGGTGTGTGTGTGTGTGTGTGTGGGTGTGTGTGTGTGTGTGTGTGTGTGTGTGTGTGTGTGTGTATACCCTTGCTATGTACACACAACAGTGAAGTCACCTAACACATCATTTCCTACCACATGGCCCAGTATTAAGGTGACAATTGACAGCAGTCTGATCACTCTTCACCCAGGTGTGGTGTTGGTTGTTTGCTGCTTGGCACTATGTAGGCAGGCTCCATAAGAAAAGAAATCATGAACAATTCTTGGGAAGGGGGCATCTTAACTGACCACACATCTATGTAGAAAAGATAATTGACTTGAAGCAACTATTTTTGAAAGCAGAAGTGCAGCTTTCCCTTAGGAGCAGGTGTGGCTTGAGAATAAGGCTGAAACACTGGGTTTGGGTATCCCGAGAAACAGCAAATGGTATGATTTTTAAGAACTAACACACTGGCATATTGCCGGTACCGTACCCATCTGGTGGCATTCTAACAGCTTGACTCGAGGTGTAACTGATAGGTGATAAACTGCTCAGATTTCAAGAGTGGGATTTGATAAGTTTTGACAAATGTGTATATTTGTGCAAGCATCACAAGGAGGAGAAGGTGGAGAGATTGGTGGGAAGGAAGGAGCGGGTACGTGCTATCATATCTATATGTCCCTCCCCCAAGGTGAGTCCACCTGTCTCCTAGAATGAGTTCTGGACTCTCCATCAAGATCCTCATTTAAATGCCCCTCTCAGGCAAGGGAAACTTTGCAAATTCAGTCGATATTGAATTTGAGAAAAATCATTAAATGTGTAGAAATGGCAGTTTTAAGAAAGAGTAGAAAAGAACTCTCTCACAAAAAGCATATAATTGCCACGCCTAACACCCAGCATGAAGTTTCCGGTAAGGTTGGCAATCCTGCACGGAACAAGTATTCGATTTCCATATGAGGGCAACATAGGGAGGTTGAGGGCGGTTGCATCTTTCCACTCCCCAGCCCACTCACAAGGCTGTGGACAGGGCTTGGCTGTCCAGCTGCTGGAACAAGTTCCTCTGCCTCTTGTCAGCTGTTACCTGGGAGCCTCCCTATGTCCCTTGTGGGCCTCTACACAGACAAGAAGGTGAACGATGAACTGAAGGGAGATTCCATCGCTTCTGCTGGGTTCTTTTCTGTGAGGGAACTTCTTAAGTCTAGGCCCCAGCAAGGGAAGGATTCCCGGATGTCTGCTCACAGCCTGCCAGCCACACACAGACACTCTTGCCGAGATATGATTTTTCTGTTTTTTTGTTTGTTTGTTTGTTTGTTTTTTGGTTTTTCGAGACAGGGTTTCTCTGTGTAGCTTTGGAGCCTATCCTGGCACTCGCTCTAGAGACCAGGCTGGCCTCGAACTCACAGAGATCTGCCTGCCTCTGCCTCCCGAGTGCTGGGATTAAAGGTGTTCGCTACCAACGCCTGGCTGATTTTTCTATTTTTAACACTTCAGTTTTCTTGTCCCAATGAGCTGACCAACACTGGCATTGGCAAGTCCCAGGACCTAATGTCGGGGTGATACAACACCCCAGCATGGGAAGAGATGTCCAAGTCTCCTTCCTTAGCACCCATGATAGAGCATCCTTATTTCTCTCCCAGAGGGATAAAACGTGCTTTAACACAACTCCAGCACAAAAGTCCCAGACCACATTGCATTTCATTTAAAGGCAGTAAGAAGTCTGGTACAAGAATAGGCCTGGGGTCTTGGCCTCAGAACTCCTAGTAACTCAATACTTCAGGGAGTCCTAGGGCCTGGAACTTGCAGCTGCCTGTGACTGACAGAGGACCAGGGACTGAGAGAGCCTGAAGAAGGCTCCAAGAAGCAATGGCTTGCTGGTTCTCAAGGGAAAGACAGTCAGCCCTGGTTATTTCTAGTTCCCTGGGCTTTAGACACACCTGGACATCTGTTTTATGTAAGTCACAGAGCCCTGTGTGGGCCATGTTAAAAAACAAAAAAAAAAAAAAACAAAACAAAACAAAAAACAGACCAAGAGGGAATTTAATTAACAAAGTCTTTCTAAATCCTTAGTGCCAGCATTTGACTGTTTCAAAATGAAGCCACGAAACCTTTATCTCCATCCTGGGTCCCTTGGTGTTTAAGAACACAACAAGGCAGGTGGTGGCTTGTGTTTATAATCCCAGCACCCCATCGCTGAAGCAAGAGGCTTCCTCTAAGTTCAAGCCTAGCTTGAACTAAGCAATGAGATCTTGTCTCAAAAACAAACCAAACCAACAAGCTAGCAAACTACAACGACAAAACCACCAAATGAGCTGAGGAGATGATCACCTGCATTCAATGAACCACTGTCGGATCTGGTCTTGAAGGTGCTCCTTGATGTCCGGGCCTTCCATTAACTTCAGATCCTCCTTGATATTCACTAAGGCTTCCTGGTAGCTCTGTTCATGTTTCATCTGCACCTCATTCCGCAGGCGTGTCACCTTTTCCGACTACTTACTCACTGTGGAGAGAGACACCAGGGCTAGCCCCACAGCACAGTTCACACTGAGGTGGGTGATAGCTCAAAAAACACATACTCAGATCCAAAGAATCCAGGACATGTTGATTATGAACAATTCCAAAACTCTTGGGTAAAATAAATCTTTTATATTTTAAGTTGGTCATCTTAGATTTTTGTCACAGTGACACCAAACTAGCCTAAGTAAAGTCACCCACATTTCAGAACCAAAGCTTTCTCGATCTTCTTGGTCAGTGGAGGAAACAGAATGTGGAGAAGGGACCTGCTTGTCACAAAGGCTACTGAAAGGGACTGTGTTCTGATTATTTAGAATGATCTAAAGATCAACTCTCCACTCTCTAAAGAAAGACGTTGGGCAGCCTAGTTCAGATATACATCCCAACACATCGTACAGAATGGTCCTCCTCTGCTGATCCGTCAATCAACAAATCAGAAAGCGGTTGGTTGGTTGTGGTCCATCCTCTGGGCCCTAACCCTGAGCAATGCACAGCATCTGTACCAGGTTGTTGTAGACAGACATACCTCACATGGTGAGAGGCTAAAACTCCGTTCTTCTGAAGCTCCAAGGGAGCAAAATCAGGTAGATTAGCTCATACCTATACGCAGCAATCCAGCCAAGTGCCACATTGGAGACTAGCATTTGGTGATGTAAATGGGTGTGGAAGGGAGCCAAGCCTGGTGCTCATAATCCCTGAGGTCAGAAATACAAGAGCAGGACAGCTCTCCCATACAAGGGAAGAGCCTGGCCTCCAGAGATATCCAGAGGCTCAACCACGGCTCTCAAATCAAAGGCTGCGTAATGAAATGGATCCTGAGAATCAACACACATATCTGGAAAATCTGCATGTTGGTGTTAAACACAGATATCTTTAAATCTAAAATTAAATGGAATAATTTAAGTCAATTATGTTGGTAACCAAAGTTAACAATACTCATAACTCATTACTTCTGAGTGATTCTCCTGCAGCTATTTATATCTGTTGTCTCTCTGGCAACACCTACTGCATTAGTTTGAATAACTTAACTGCTTAGGGGAGTAGCTTGGTCAGTCCCAGGGGATGCTGTGATACCCAGTGGATTGGTAGCTTTGGCGCTAATGTCCCAGCATAACCAGGCAAATTAAAGTCCAGACTCAGATGTTTGAGAATTCTGTACCATGGTCAGTGGAACAAACAAGTTTCCATGTCTTCCAAACACACACACACACCTCTAATGAACACTTCTGGACTCTCATGTGGGAGGGATTATCTCACCTTTCCATCTGATAGAATTTAGAATCCACTTAAAACCAAACAGTCAAGTGAAACAGAAGAGGAAGCTACATGGGCCCACTAGAAACTTAAAGACGACATGATTTTCTCGTTTAGTATAAAGAGAATTTCGTATGAAGAGTACAATTTTTATTAAGGTAAATCCAGAGTGAGAGTCACAAAATCTTTTTTTTTCCGTGTGTGTGTGTGTGTGTGTGTGTGTGTGTGTGCGCGCGCGTGCGCGCGCGCTCGCTCGCACGTGCGCATGTGCAGGTACAAGTGTGTGGGGGTGTGGGGGTGTATGCACACGTGTGTGTGAAGGTCAGGGGGTCATTTTGAGCATCTTTCTGGAATCTCTCATCTAAACCAGAACTCATGAATAAGGCCATTCTATCTGGGAAGTCTGCTCCTGTCTTCACTTCCTGGGAGCTAGGATAAAAGTGGGCCACCATGTCCACCCAGCATTTATGTGGGAGCCGGGGGTCTGAACTCAAGCCCTTGTATTTGCACAGTAAACACTCTGACCCTCTGAGACATCTCTCAGGCCCCTATAAAATCATTTTACAGGCTGATCTAACCCTCTCACGGCTTGGTTGTGCTTTGCCTCATAAGCCGTGCACTGTGTCTCCTCAGTGATACTCGCATTCGTCTTTTTAGGTAGAGATAAGAGCCTGGAGGCTCCCACTGGACAGATGTGAAAGCAGAGGTCTCGGGCCAATGAAGATGGCTGGCTCCTTCACTCTGTGTGGTGTTGCTCCTCCCCGGGTCATTCAGATGGGAGAGTTCATGCGTGTTTCTCCATATAGATTTTTCTCTGGCAAGAATGCACCAGGGTCATTTGTAACTCTCTCCTCTTGCTGTTTCTGCGTTTGAAGGTTCTAATAAATTTGCATCCTGTGCTAACTAGTATCCTGTCCTTTGGACACAAACATCTTATCTTCTTTAGCAACACTGGTCATATGAATTCAAATGTGTTAGCTGGCCACATAAACAGCAACTCATTTAAAAATAAATTAGGGATATTAAAGGGAGAGGGAGAACATGGTGGCATGCGATGTATTGAAATGCATGGGCTGTAGATTAATGCATGTTAATGAAGGCTCCCCATGTGAGCAAACCATTACACTTGCCAGCTCTCCACAGTTAACGACCCAGAACGGAATAACGAAACCTACATTTCCAGCGAGGTCCTCTGTCAGCAAAAACACACACATTAATAATTGATGTTGCTGAAGAAATTCGACTTGAAATGATGCTTCCTGACTTGGGGCGGGGGGGGGGGGCAAGACTCCACACTATGCTAATGTCCATGTTTAGTTAACGTTCGAGAGGCTACAGTTTTAAAAACTTTTGTTGAAATTAGGAAGGGAAAACGGTCATTTATAAAAACCTTTTCAGTGTATCAGTCCCAAATAGACTGGGAATCCTGTCGTTTGGTGTTGGCAATTACCCAAGGAACCTCTCTCTGTCTGTGGGGGGTGGCTGTCAGCCAAAGTGGAGGAACAGATCTCAGCTAGTGCCCATGTCACACCAGTTCTCCCGGGGCCTGCTCATGTGCACTAGTGCTTGTGTGGAGACCCTTAGACAGGCTGCCTTGACATCTGGGGCTCTAATTTCATAAGAGGAAGACCTCAGGCTGCACAACACCCTACTCTTCATCAGGTTCCATTGCAAATGTGCCAACTGGTGGGGTTCCCATCTGTATGTATCCCATTTCCTAGTCCCCTGTCTGTATGTATGCAGCTGTGAGCCACAGAGACATGGAGGAGCAGAAGCTAAGGCCTACAGGGAAGAGAATCTTTTTCTTTGGTCCTCTGGCTTCAAGGAGTTCAATGTGAATCTTTAAGACCTACCGTGTTAGCCGCAAACAATCTGTTAAAGCGTAGGAATGTTTTCTAGCCCATTAGATTCAATTTCTTTAAGATTCCAGTATTTTTAAAGATTGCTTATTTAAGAACTGATAGGATAGGGTGTTGGTGAGCTTTTGGGTCTTTAGTGGCTAAGGCTTAGTCCTCTTTGTGCTCTCATAAAGTCATCACCGTGAGGTAAGTTTGAATGGTTTACAAATATGAACTCAATTAGGCCTTAAGCAGAGAGGTTACTACTTCCAGTTTATATGAGAGGAAGTAGAGGCACGGAGATGTCAAGGGCCTTGCCCAGGGTCACACAGGCAGGACACATAGTCTGGGGCCATTTTGTCTGATAATAGTTTCTTACGGACTTTGAAGGCAATGTGCAATTGAACTTGGTAGCTATTGCTGAACTGCCTTGTGTGTCATGGTTTCACATAACGTGCTCTCCCTGTTGAGTCTGCAACAGCACCCTTTCAAGGCTTCATGGTGACATAAGCCTTCCTGGTCCCTCTCTAACCTATATGGGTTAAGAGACAAACAAAGAAAATACACTTGCTAGCAGTTTAATGAGAGTGTCTGAGAGGCAAATGGTATTGGTATCTAAGCCAGGATCTTAAGCTTTCTGAATGGCAGAACAGACCAGTGTTCATTGTATGCTGTGAGCTGGACACAGCTTCGCATGCTTGGCTCTACACAGGACAGCATGGTGACACCAACAGACCCAGGAGACCCATGTGAGCCAGCCAGGCTGACTGGAGCCTTGAACCTTGCCCACAGTCCATGCAGCATTGAGAGACTTTGTAAAGGGGTTCCTGTAAGATGAATGAAAGCAAGCCACCAGCGCAAGGGAACCCATGAGAGACTCCTGGGGCCAGAGGACAAAGAAAAGAATTATTTTTGTCATTTAGTGTCTCATCGCCTGGAAACCTGGGGCCATAATTAAGCAGAATATTAACAATAGCAAATAATAATAAAATTATTATCTTTTAATATACAATTGACATATATGAATATGTATATGAATATATAATACATAATGAATATGTATATTCAGACATACACACACATACACATATATATGACTTGAAATCAAACTAAGGTGTGTCAAGTCGGACACCTGGATGGTAAAACCCTACTTAATCAAAAAGACAGGGCTGGTCTCACCTTTTCTCCAATGCAGGTGGATCATGTTTGTTTCCTTTTGAAACAGAGCCTCACTCACACTGTGGCCCAGGCTGGCTTGGGGCTTGTGGAAACAGAGCCTCACTCACACTGTGGCCCAGGCTGGCCTGGAGCTTGTAAGCATCCTCCTTTCTCATTGTCCAGGATACAAGTCATGGGGACAGTGTCTGGCTGAAGTGAGCTTTTGTAACCACTAAGCACTTCAGGGAGGGCTCCTCATCAGAGGGTGTGGTGGGCTAGAGGGGTGACTTGATGTCTCTGTAGGCTTTCCTTTGATAGACCCCAGTATTGGGGTTCCCAACTTATTTTTTCTTTTGGTTTTTTGAGACAGGGTTTCTCTATAGTTTTGGAGCCTATCCTGGCACTCACTCTGGAGATCAGGCTGGCCTCGAATTCACAGAGATCCACCTGCCTCTGCCTCCCAAGTGCTGAGATTAAAGGCTTGCACCACCAACGCCTGGCTTCCAACTTTTGCTTTGGGAATCTCCAGAAGGTCCCTCTGCTGCAGGAAACATCAAGACAGACTCAGCCTCGTGGACTTTTCCAGATCACATTTTGACAGGCTAGTTTTCAGTTCACACTCCTAGACACACTGGATCTCTAGGTCTTCGATACATGTGTTTTACATGAGAGCTTAGTTTGAAGTACATTGTGTTTTAGAACATGAACTTTCAGGACTTATTCAAAGTGTTTTGTTTTAAGGGTCACTCAACCATCATTACATTTTATCATTTCCCAAGGTGACATCAACCACATTCCTGTGAGGTGTTTCCACTTCATACTCCTTTGAGGCCTCTCCCTTTAAGCTCTTAGGATGTCTTGCTTGCTGCCCTGTGATGGATGCATCCTGTGCTGGCCAAAGAGGAAACTGAGGTTCCCAGGGAGGGTGTGTGAGACTTGGGATCCTGCCCCTGGCAAGGTACAGAGCTGGGCTTTGAACCAAATCTGCCTCTAAGGTATGTGCTGCCCACCAGAGGAGACCCAGTGACTGCAGGAGAAATGCTTGTGGTGGGTGCTGCCTCTGCTGGGACACTGAGGGGACAGGCAGCTCTTAGAATGTCAAAAGATACAGCAGGGGCTCTAAGAGCCTTAGCTACCCAGTGTCGTCCCAGCCTGTGCAGGGGTTCACAAGAATAAAATTCTAATTTAGTAACCCCAAAGCAGTGGAGAAAATAGCTTGTTTGATGGTAGAGTCTGAAAGTGAATGAGTTTTATGGTGCTTTCAGGATTCTGATGATGTTTGTAGAAGTGACAGGCCCTTCCCGTTAATAAGAATCCCCAGAATTCCTCATTATAATGCAAATAGCGATGGCTTCAGGGTAATGTAAAATATACAGGGCCCTGACTGCGGACGGATGGCTTTGAGAAGGCCACAGGAGAGGATGGATTGTGTTCATTAAGTTTCCTTTCATGGGATCCACGCCATTGGCTCTGCCAATTAAAATAGCTGGACATGATTTTTAGGCCGCTATTTATTTTCCTCTGTACACTTACTTTATAATCTACATATTTAAAATGGCAATATCAAAAAATAATACTTGATATGCCAATGGTTAAGAGAAACAGTTGGTTGGGGTAGAAGACAGAGTGATGCCCTTTGCTCTGATTCCACTTTCAGAGACCAAGTCGTCCCTCCTGGAAGCGTGGCAGGCTTGTGGAGACACAGCTAGGATCAGTTAAACCACTGGCTTTTTCATTGACAAAATAGATTGAGATGAACACATGGAGAATTGAGATTTGAAATGAGGAGGCAACACCCTCATCAATGACAGAGTGGAAAATATATTCAATTGAAAACATGCTCTTGGTTTGGGATAGTGGATTTTTTTTTTTTTATGGTCATCAGCCAGCAAACTGCAGATAACATTCTTTCAAAAATTGAATCCATGTATTTCTCAGTGGTTAAAATTTCAATAGGACATATATTATCAAGAGACAGCACACTGGGTAAAAGGCGTGCAGAGAAAGTGTGCATGGAACACACAGCAGGGGAGCTGTTCTCTTTATGTTTTGCAAACTGCATTGTGGAGAAGTTCTTAGGCTTGTCTCTCTTTTGAGACCAGCACATGGAAATTTCAGAGCAAAGGGAGGAGTCTGAGTTATACATAGCAATCCATCGGTACCAGGACAGGACAGGAAGTCAAGATTGAAGGGCGAATGCAACAGTCTTTGGCTATTGCCCGGGATTCTTTTGTTTTTTTTTTTTTTTTTTTTTTTTTTTTTTTTGTATACAGAAGGTAGCCAGTAAATGCAGGTTAATGAATCACATCAAATAGAAGTTTACTCAAACAGAAGCTGTTGAGTTAAAAGTTTGACCACTGTGAGATTTCACATAGTGCTTAAGCATATGCCATGAATCTTAGATTGCTAATATGAATTTTAAAGTAAAATCAACCAATATAGCTAGATTCTTTTTTGCATGTATACATATGTGGTGTGTGTGTGTGTGTGTGTGTGTGAGAGTGTGTGTGTTTATGTGTCTTTTGCATATGTGTAGGCACACCTGTACATTTGGGTACATGCCTTGATTACCCTTCTTCAGCTTATACATGGAGGCTGGGTTTCTCACTTGAACCAGATTTGACTAGCCTCCAGGAATCCCTACTCCCTGCTCCTGCACACTGACTGGGATTACAGGAGGACTCAACCGAGGGACTGCCAAGTCAGAGTGGCCTGTGGGTATGTCTGTGAGGGATTGTCTTGGTTGATGATTGATATGGAAGGACCCAGCCCAGCCTTTGAGAGCAGGTGACATTTCAGGTGTCACTTAAGTACCATCTATGGCTCATCCAGTTTCTAGTGTATTTTTTTAACCTGAAGTCCATAGCCAAGATTTATTTTTTCTTCTTTTTTTTCTTTCTCTATTTTGACCCAATGTTTGTTGTCCTTTTTACTACATGTCACTTGGGAGAGGGGACAGAAACTGCTTAAGATTGACTTTCCAACAATTTAAAAGCATGTAAAATAAGCCCAGCCCTTCACCTGCCTATGCAGGCCAGTGGAGTGGGGAGGTGACAGGAGGTGGCAGCAGGGCGTATACTGAAGGGGGGGGGGCAGCGAGTGGGGAGGTGACAGGAGGTGGCAGCAGGGCGTATACTGAAGGGGGGGGCGGCTGGCGGCGCTAGTGTCTTGGTTCACACTTCACAGTCATCTGCACTGCCCTAACTATGACAGCAATGACATATGACCAAGGCTACTTCTTGTTGGTAATTCACTCTGTCCTCCAAGCGAAAGTCAATTGTACTTTACAGGTTTGTTTTATAAGTTTTGCATCGCCCTCTCCAGGGTCTCACTGTAACTAAACTGCTTAGGCTGAGGAATGGAGCAGGGTGTGGACATGATGTACCTCTCGTCCTTCATGGGCCAGTGCTCTAAGCCCCAGGAGCAAGGGCCAGCCAGGCCAATTGATGCTTAGCCACACAGGTCATCATTATGTGGTACACGATACTACCCAACCCACCTCCACTGAACTGACTGGGCTTAGCTCCACCCTGGTGTCTGGAATGCAGTTTCCAGAATGGCTTTGCTGAAGCATAGGGCAAACACCAGGTGCCTGATTCTCCCAGGCCAGGACTAACCCAGAGGCTGGAGAACCTTCTGAACCTTAGCTACGTGATTGGCTTCATTGAGGTTTCTTACAGCTTCTGTGAGTTTTGATATTTATATTTCCCTAGGCGATCTTCTCTGTTCAGTGTCTTCTAATTTATGAGCGCAGAGGTTCAAGACACGATCTAATAGGTTTTTCTTTTTTTAAAGCCTGTTAGTGTCTGTGGTTATTTATGGTATATTTATATTCCTGTTTCTTCTTTTCTTACTTAGCCTCACCAGAGCTTTCCAGGCAGTTAGTTATTTTCACATACCCAGTCCTTGTCCTGTCAGCACTGCTGTTTATGTGTTTTTATCTGAGGGTACCAATGGAGCCTCCAGCAATTTAGCTAGCTCTGTGTGATGCTCTGAAGCTTCTGCTGTAGGACTTGGTGGGAATCTGGTACCTTAGTTAAAAATTCCTTTAATGGAAATTGAGCCTGTCAACCAATGAGGCCCCATCAGGAATGATCACATCTCTAGTAATGCAAGTGTTAGCTGATTTCCTGGACTCTGAAGGGATAACATGTGTAAAGGTGCTGTAATTATCATCTCTAGTAATGCAAGTGTTAGCTGATTTCCTGGACTCTGAAGGGATATCATGTGTAAAGGTGCTGTAATTATGGAGGAATTCCACCATAAAATAAACAATGTCCAGTAGTTTAGCAGGACCTGAGGAGAGAATGGGTTTCATTTGAGAAGAGAGGGCTCTGAAAGGGAAGTTGTGGGCTTCCCCAGGAGGCATGGGCTCTGCTCAGGACATTAGAGCTCTGTTCAGAAGCCCCATACTTCATGCACAGACTTTAAGGAGATGCTGGTGCCCTGCCTCCTGGTCCCTAAATCCTACTGTAAGCCTACCGAGGGAACCTGTTACTCAGTTTTGACTCACAGCAGATGAATGGCAAAGGTCTGCATACCACGAGTGTACCTTGTTTCCCTGCTGTCTCCAGGGTAAGCAAACTGCCACATGTAAGACTTCAGGGTCTATGAGACCAGGTGCTGGGCTGTCTCCAGCTGAGAGCTGACAAAGAACTGATGTTCCTGTTCTGGTTGGCACAGCAGTGGGATGCTGCCAGCAGCTATGTGACCTTGGAGGCAGATTCCTCCCCACCTGAGCCTCAGATGAGAGCCCAGGCCCAGTTTGGACAACAGTTAGCCATGTGACACCCCAGGCAGAGAACTGAGCTGTGCCAGATTCCTGACCCAGGGATCTATGCCATAGCACAGGCGGTTGCCTAAGCCACTGTTTGGTGTTGAGACAGCTACATGACAATGCATCCATCACTGTGGAAATGAACCCTCCCTCCAATACCTGCTGGACCAAAGCAATTCCATTCTCACCAGCAAGACACTCTTGAAGCCAAAGGCTCTGCTGACACCAGGCAGGAGTGGGACATACCCTATCTGGAGTATTCTACATCTCACAGAGACATGTGAGGAACACTCCCCGACCTCTTGGGTCCCCAGCTGGAAGTCACCCATTCTGTTTTCCCCTCTTTCCACAGACACTCACTAGAGAAGGAATGCAGCCCACAGAAGCTCCTCTTTAAGTATGGAACTTACCATACCCAGGAATACCATCTCCTCTTCCCTCTCCCTCACTGTTTTTTTGCTTTGATGGAAACCTCGCCAAACCTGCAAACAAATTCATGGTTACTTCTGTTGAAGTTCTCCTGTAGAAACCACCCAGCCCATGCATTGTGTTTCACTGGGATTGTTTTTTTAAATGTTAGGATAACAAGCAACAGCTTTTTCTCTTCTTTCCGTCCTTCCTTCCTTCCTTCATTCCTTCCTTCCTTCCCTTTTTCCATCTTTTCTTTTTATTTATTCTTCTCTCATACAGTGCATCCCAACTGCATCCTCCCCTCTCAGTCCTTGCCCTCCCCCCAACACACACCTCCCATCTCCCCCAGGTCAATTGCTCCTTTGTTTCCCTTCAGAAAAAGCAGGTCTTATGGGAATATCAACCAAATATGGCACAACAAGTTACAATAGGACGAGGCACAAACCCTCACACCAAGGCTGGAAGAGGCAACAGCTTTATGAAATTTTTATTTTATGTGATGTGTATGAGTGTTTGACCTACTTGTATGTCTGTGCAATACATGGGTAGCAACAGCCACAGGGGCCAAAAGAACTCATCATACAGTTATGAGCCACCATGTAGGTGATGGGAATTGAACTCAGGTTCTCTGGAAGAGCAGCCAGTGCTTTTAGCCACTGAACTATCTCTGCAGCATCCACAGAAATACTTTTAGAGAAGGATAATTACAGAAATGACTCATAGCTGTCTTTGAATCTGACTTGGGATTCTTCAAGAGAACATTCCAGAAGTCAGAAGAATGAGGCTCTACCTAAGGGTAGTACTTCACTGTTTGACAATTAAAACCTTCCACAGTAACATGGGAAATAACAGCTCATGCATTTCTAAAACAAAACAAAAAACAAACAAACAAACAAAAAAACGGTGAAACTAAAGCTTATCTTAGGGTGTAGAGTCCAGGAGATGCAAAGAAAGGGACCTGCCTGCCCTTCCCACTGCCCTCTCCCATGACTACCTAAGCACAGCTGGCGACAGTGCCCTGCCTCTCAGGCTCTGCAGTGTGTCCTTATATTTATTTTCTTTTTAATTTAATTCTGATTTGTGCCACATGGCTGTAGTTTTCTTCTTCCCACAAGCAAACTTGGCCCCCATTAGGAAAAAGACAGGGTACACTACTAGCAACACTATATAAGAAGAAAAATTAGTCCCTACAGCCCCTCTTGAAGGAATACCGAGGTTCTGGCCCTTAGTCAGTCGTGGTGGCTGGAATGTGCTAAGTGATGAGCTTGTCTTCAAGGCCCCGGGAGTTGCTCCTGGCATCTCCCTTCTGCAATTGTCTCAGCATGAATGAAGTTTTTTAAAAAAACCTCATTGTGGGTTTACATCCTTGTTAGATTCTAGCAACATTCTTTCCAACAATTATTGGTGCCCTTTTGGAAGTCTTTGAACATACTGTTCTGCATCTTAAACTTCCTAGTTTTCAATAAACAAAATAAAAACAAGACGATGTTTCTCCAGGGTAAGCCAATAAATCTTTGTGGGGTTCACTAACTCAACACAGCTTTCCTATAGGTAGAGCTTTGGGTTTTGAATTTCAGAGCTCAGCCACAAAGTTGGAAAGTGTTGCCTGCCCCCCCACCCCCCCACTCCAATCCGGATGTGCCCACATGTCAGTACTTTTTGAATCTGCAGGGCGGCCATGCCGGTGTCAGCTAGTCTCTGGCCCAGCAGCTTGATCTCCTTGGCTCTGCACTCCTGGAGGAAGATCTGCTTCATGAACAACGCCCTGAGGCGGCCCTGTCTTGCTCGCTCAGCGATCTGGATCATTTTAATAGCCTCTTCCAATGCTATGCTCTTTACAGCGTATTTCTGCAAATAAATAAATAAATAAATAAATAAATAAATAAATAAATAAATATTTATATAGGTTGAATTGGATCAGCAAGGGCTTCGCAAGCAAAGGTGCTTACTGCCAACTGTATAGTATGATACAGCAGCTGTAGAGTGTGTTCTAGATTTCTTTTCTGTTGTGATAAACACCATGGCCAAAAGCAACTTGGAGAGGAAAGGGCTTACTTCTCTCTCTAAGCTTCAGGGAATCAAGGGAAGCCAAGGCAGGAGGTCAGGTCAGGAGTAGGAAGCAAACACCACAGAGACAGGCTGCTTGCTGACTTGCTTCCAGGCTCACCCTTAGCTACATTCTGTACAGCCTGGGCCCATGTGCTGAGGGGTGGTACCATCCACAGTGGGCTGGGACCTCCTACAGCTAGCCATCAAGGAAATGCCCCCCTCAGCCCACTGCCCTGCTAAGAGAGGGAGAATTAGTTTCTTCCAGGGACAAGTTCCCAAATCGGATCTCTAATCCCGAGTGGTCATCTCAGGACACATGTACACATGTACAAATGAGCAATGTTAAATGGTTGTAGACGCATGTATAAATGTATATATATATATATATATATATATATATATATATATATATAGTTTCCATAACATAAAACTATATGTACATGCATTCATTGTTTTAAAACAAATTATAAATATATTTTTGTTTATATATTATATATAAATTACATAACGATATACAATTACATATAGTATATATAATGTCTATGTATATATATGCAGCAATGGTAACTGAAGTAGAGACCATGAATTTGGAATGGGGGTGGTCACGGGAAGAGTTTGTGGGGAGTGGTGTAAACACAGGGCTCACGTACAAAATTCTAAAAACCAAGCCAAAACAAAAATCTTTGTATAAAGAAAGGAAATCCCCATAGACATGCCCATAGGCCACTCTGATGGAAGGATTTTCTCAGTTGAGGTTCCCTCTTCCCAGGTTAATAACCAAGGTTTGCCACCCCAGACCAGACCACCCTCCTTCCAAAAAGTAAGCTAAATGGCACCCCAAAAGTTTAGTTCCATAGCAAATTAGTCCTGAGATGACCAGAAATGTCAGTCAGACATATTGATTAGTGCTGCAAATTCTATCATTTGCTTAATGGGAGAAATAGGAATGGCAACCATGTCTCTGAGATGAGGACTTAAATGTACCTCAAGTAAAATGCTCAAGGCAGCTGTTGACTGGCCAGTGACTTAGGATGCTAAGCTAAACATTCAGAACTGTTGACTTCTATGTGTGAAAAGGTGGGGGCTGGGGAGGTGACTCAGCCAGTCTCAAGGCTGAGGAACTGAGTTTGAAATTCCAGTACTTGGCTAAAATATATGGGTATGACAGTGTGCGTCGGGAACCCCAGTGCTGGGGGTGCACGCAGAGCATAGCCAAGTGGATCCCTAGCACGAAGTGGCCAACCAGTCTATCTGAATTGGTCAGGTCCTGGTCGGATGAGAGACCTTGCATCAAAAAGTAAGGTGGGGAATGATTGAGAAATACACTCAACATACAAGCGCACACACATGCACTTTTATGCACATGAACAACACTCTCTCTCTCTCTCTCTCTCTCTCTCTCACACACACACACACACACACACACATGATGAATGTCATTAAAACAGAAAAGTGTGTGTTCATGCTTCAGACTGTGGGGCCTTGGGTGGGGTATGTAGAAACAGGGCTAGGTGATTGGTGTGTGCCATTTTTAGGGGTGCAGATGTACATAAGCAAGGTTTTGGGGAGTCTTCAGAAGCCCATGGAGACTTGAATGGGATGAGGCTGAGGTTACTGTTGTCCTGAAAGCAAGGGAGGAAACTATACCAGAGTAGAAGAGCGTCGTGCAGGCAGAGTGTGGCCCTGCATGGGTAGAGGAACACTTGCGGCCACATCCAGCTTTACAAGGGGTCTGGGGGGTTTGAACTCAGGTCCTCCTACTTGTGTAGAAAACTCTTCACTCCCTGCGCCATCTCCCAGGTCCTTCTTTTCCCAGTGACTGCCCTTCTAGGTGATCCAAATGTCACTCAGTTAGAACTCATAAAAGGCCAGAGAGCAAATGAGAACACACAGTTGTGAATTCAGTTTGTGAATTCTGAACTTGGTGGGTTTAGTTTCTGACTTTAACCTGGTGAATCAGAGATGAAAAAGCAAAACCAGCTGGCAACTGGCTCATCTTTTTGGCTCTCGATGTGATGCATTATCATTTGATCTTTATTTCATGTAAAGCAACCATAAGGAATCACTAACAACCAACCACCCTAGAGGTGCATAATCCCTGATAGACCTCACAGAGCAAGCAGGTAGGGGAAGCACTTTTCTCTACTTGAGAATATGGTGACTGTTTCCCAGACAGTTTGGGGTGAGGAGGAGGAGGAGGAGGAGGAGGAGGAGGAGGAGGAGGAGGAGGAGGAGGAGGAGGAGGAGGAGGAGGAGGAGGAGGAGGAGGGTGAGGAGGAGGAGGAGGAGGAGGAGGAGGAGGAGGAGGAGGAGGAGGTTATACAGAGAATGAAAGACGTGTGTTAAAGCGATACAAACCACGTCAGGAAGGTTCAATCCACATTCTTTTAAGATCCGAGCGAGGATCTTCTCTCTTCCTTTTATGACTTCCAACCTCTCCTTCAAAAAATACCTGGGTATGGGGACATCCAACTGTTGCTGAAGAAGAGAGAATAAATATGAGGCCATTCTGTTAGGGCCCCAGCACTCAAATCTACCTAGAATTATGGTAGGATGAGCAAATCACCAACACTTGCTTGTGGCGGGATGGTGAGAGCAGGTGTGGGGAAGAGTGCTTGAAGACCTGAGTTCAAACACATATGGAAGCATTTTAAGGAACTCATAGGATGGAGGGCAGGGGTGGGGATGAAGGCGTCCAGTTATCCCCCCACCCCTGCCCCAACTTTCTTTCTGGCTCTGGCTCTACTTGCTCCATTCTTCACAGAGTCCAGCTCACCTAGGCTCTGCCAGCTTGGGAGGCCAGGTCAGACCAGAGACAGATACCATAATCTTCTGGCTTCAGAGTCTCTCAGCCAGGGTCTGACTGGTATCCCAGTCTCTTCAGTCCTACCATACAAATAGCTGGGGGCTGGCCAGAAAAGCAGTCAGAAGTGTGGACTTTGTGAGAGAATGGCCACAGTGACCAAGTACAGAGGATGCTGGCTGGAATGGCCCATCCCAAAATGCAGAGACATCCCCTAGGTTTGCTTCTTTGCCAGGACACTGTTCACAAAACAGACACGACTGCTGGCCCAGTGTTCTGGCTCCTGAACATCAAAGACATCAAATGGCTTGCCCATCAGTTCCACAGCTGGTGGGAAGCACTGTTGATATGATCCCACAGCATAGACTTCCTGGGTGATGTCTGTTCTCCTGGCACCTCTCTCTTCCCGGGGCACAACTGGCTTCTCACAGCAGCAGCATTTCCCAGGTATAAGGAAGGTGACCAGCTGAAGCTTGGGGCAGTGTGGATAGCAGGGAAAATGGAGGGAGCCCAGCATGTGAGTCTCTAGACCTCTTTAGACTGTAACGGTTTAATAGCCTTGAAATTAGATTTAGATGTTGAATGTCACCTTACTAATTAAATTTGGGGCTATAATTCAATAAAGAGTGATTCCACATTTGGCCCAGGCTGTTCTTCCTCTTTTCACCTGGGTGAGCCAAGCACACCTGACTGAATTTAGTGGTTAACTTTTGCTCTTAGAAATGCAGGCAATGCGTTTGCAAGTTCTGCAATGTCTTGACCCACTCTAGTTACTCCCTGTAGTCTATTCTGATGTCATCAGAAAACAATACTAGAAGAATCTTCCCCAGAAAAGAAATGACCTTTACAAAAGTCAAAATATTTTCCAAGTGAAGAAACCCGTAGGCCCCCATGTAAAAAGACTTTCTTTTTTCTTTTTAACTCTACCTGAGGGAATCACCCTTTCAAAATTGAGGGTGAGCTAACAGGGCCTACAGCTGGAAGAAATGAGGAGTCTAGTGGCCTTTGAAAGTCCATCCACCCAGGATATTAGAGAAACCTCAGGCAAATGTCTGTCAGCAAAGCAGAAAAGGTTCAATGGCAGGGGCTAAGTTACTACAGGAGGTGCCCAGGTCAGAGGGAGGCAGAGGGAGGCTCCTTGAACATTAAGGAGGGATACCTCCTTCTGCAGTACCTAGGGGACAAAGGCCATAGCTATAAACCTACTGGGTCATTACTGACACAAAACCAAGGAAGAAAAGTCATCCAGCTGGCCACAAGGCCCCCGCCATCTAAGACTACCATCCAAGTGATGATGGAGTAGTAGAAAGCAGAGGGTATTTTGGACCCAGGTATTTGGGAGACTTTGGGCTATGGGGCATTTGTGAGGGGGTCAGTCTATTCCATTTCAACCATCATGACATTGTGGTACCTCTGAATACAGGACTTCAGTGGCAAACAGATCCACAGGCTGTGGAAGATTAGTCTACACAGACAAGGAAGCAAGCAAAGCCTACCTTATGATGGTGAGGTTTCAGTGAAGAGAATGTTCAGGCTTTTAATTCAACAAGGTTGTCACATGTAAACATGATTAAGAAGTCTGCAGACAATGGGCACAGTATCTTACTTACAACAAAAACCTAATGAGGAAAACCATAACAAAACACTTACTGGAGCCAACTTCAGGTCCTGTAAGATATCATCAAAATAATGGAACTCTGTCAATTCTAACTCTACCATCTCGTTCTTCAGTTCCAGAATGCGACCCATCACTCCATCCAGGATCTTACGAATAAGGGTGCGTTTCTGTGGATGGACTATCTGGTCATAGACATTCTCCATGCTCCTGAAAATCTGCACATACTTTATGTAGAAGGTGGCTAACATCTGGAAGACCAAGACCTTGTTTCTCTGTGGTTCCGTCATCTTCTGAATCTCTTTGTCAAGCAGAGTATTGAGGGCTTCTTGGGTCTGGTGCCACATTTTATTGTACATTCTGGAGGGAGACACAGAGTTTAGACAACCTCATGCATAGACTTTATCCCACTGGACACACATATTGGCCACATGGCATCATAAAACAGAACACATGGGCAGGAGTAAGCTCAGGACACAGTAAGTGGCTGGAAGGTTCTCTGGACAACTTACCGTGCTTGACATACACATGTTTTTCTAACAACCATTACTACAAATAGTAAATAGTCTTTTTAAAAAAGCCTCTTTATAAATAATATAATTGCTCTTCAGCATGTCTGTGAAGCCAGCGTTATAGCACTAATTTAAATAATGAAGCAATCTATATCCAGAACAATTAACTGATCTTAACTGATTTAAATGTATGTGTGTATGTACAATGGAGAGTATATTGAAACTACCATTTTGGAAAGCAATTCCACATAGTCTTGTAAAGTTAGATATGTGCAGACTCCTTGAATTAAGTTTTATAACTATGTATCAAGTGTGTGTGTGTGTGTGTGTGTGTGTGTGTGTGTGTGTGTGTGTGTGTGTGCGCGCGCGCGTGCGCGCGCACTCGCGAGTGAGCATGCGTTCAGGTGTGTGGAGACCAAAGGTCAACCACCATGTCATTTCTCAGGAGACAACCAACTTGTTTCTTGAGACAGGGTCTCATTGGCCTTGGAATTCATCCAGTAGTCTAGACTGGCTGGCCAGTGAGTCCCAGGGATCCCCCTTTTCTACCTCCCGAGTGTTGGAAGGTTAAGAGTGTGTCATCGTACCCAGCCTTTTTTCTTTCTTCTTTTTAATAAATTCAGGTCTGTATGCTTTACTTTACAAGACAAATACTTTATCAGCTGAGCTATCCCTACAGCTCCAGTATTTTAAAAGATAATAGTAGTAAATTAATAGTTAGGAGTACTAGTTGTTCTTGCAGAGGACCTGGGTTCAGTTCCAGCCCCCACGGAACTGCTCAGAGCCTTCTGTAACTCCAGTTCTAGGAGATCTGATATTCACTTCTGCCCTCAGCAGGCATTTCATGCAGGTGGTACACATGCATACATGCAAACATACATACATACATGAAGACAAGACACTAACACACATACAAGAAACACATTTCAAGAAAATAGCAGAAGTCTAGAGATAGCTCCCCAATGAGAAGTGAATAACTGCGGTGTAGTCACCAAACAGACTGTTTCATGCAGATGTGAGAAGGTGTGGATGAACCACAGCTAAAGACAATGGTTGCTATCCTTAGAACCATAAAGAATATGAAAAGGAGGGTCTGAAAGGGTCTGTGCTTGCTGGGTCCTCTTGCCCCACTTTACTAGGTAGAGTCTACACGACCAGAAGCTTGTTGGGTGAGTGTATGAAATGCAGACTGTTCCATGCCTTCCTTGGGGTGATGGGGGACGTACTTCTGTGTATGTTTATCTTATTGATTGTTAAATAAAATATGGTTTGTCCAATGAGACAGCAAGTTAGACGGGACTAGGAGTCAAAGAGGATTCTGGGAAATGTAGTAGAGAAGTGGTGATCCAGGCAGGAAGTGACATAGCAAGGAGACTCATATTTAAGCAAAGGAAACAGGAAGGGTTTCCCCTTTGCCCCTGCCTCCTCCAGCGGCGCCATGTGAGCCACCGGCAAGAGAGGGTGCCCGTGAAAGGCATCCTCTATAAGATAAGTCTTATAAAATATATAGATTTTTGATAATTGAGACTGAGCTAACAGATGAGAATCCTAGTCATTGGCCAAGCAGCATTGTACCTAATACAAGTCTCTCTGTGCATTAATTGGGTCCTAACTCAGGCGGGCGGCTGGTGTAGAGCACACACGTGGAGGTGGGGCTCAGCAGCTTATGTCGGAAAGATTTATCGTAACACTGAGGTGGTGGCAGCTGAAGGCTGGAGACATCATTCACCAAAGGGACTACTAGGGCATCATACCATCCCCATTCTGTCTTCTCTGTTGACATATGTAGCCTTAGATTTGGCCACCATGCCTGTTCAGACTAAAATAATTATGGTAGAGACTTCCCCTTGCCAATTTTTGACCTGTCACATTAAGAACTATGGCTGAAATCAGCTAGACATCACGGGGGCAGGGGGGCTGGGCAGAGGCTGTTCTGGAAAGGATGACAGCCCTGTCCCCTGACTCTGAGAAGCCAGAGCTTGAGGTCTTTGATGCCTTTGTGGCTTGGCTCCAGCTTATTCACTTTCCAGGTGTCCTAGTGCCTGGTCTCCATCAACCTGTTTGCATTTGTCATTATCTGTGGACCTGGAGTCGGTTAGCCACCTTCTCCCTGGAGTGTGTAAGAAAGAGGACTTGGAGTCACATGACCTGATACAGCTCTACAGTCAAAGCTCCTTTCCAGCCCTCTCAGAAACACCGGGGTGTCTCCTCTTCCAGGGGAGCTCTGGCTTTGGGTCCAGCCCTGCCTGCTTCACACCTCGTGTCCATCTCTCCCTCTTCAGTTTTCCTGATGGTTCTTGTCGGATGTTCAGGTGCTCTTTCTCCTCATGAGTTCACAGCCTCTGGAGTCCTTTATTGTCACTCAACAAGCAACTTAGGGAGCACTGGGGGTGAATATTCAAACTCAACCACCTTGTTTTGATGACATCCTAATGTCAGCAATAATCTCCATCTTCAGCTTTCCCTGACCCCTCCCCCGCCCACACACACCTGTTCCTCAGAATGGTTGCTCTACAATCCACTGTGCTGACAAACTGTAGTGGTCCCTGGCTGATGCCTGATTGCCAGTGCTGCTTCCATCTTCCTCTCCCAATGCTAAATGTGTCTCTTGATGTGAGAAGGGTCATGTGGCCATGGTTACAGTGGTAATGATGATGGCGGTGATGGTGATAGTGATGATTGTGTTGGTGACAGTGAATGATGAGTGGCCATGGCGGTTAATGATGGTGATGGCAGTGATGGTGGTGAATTGATGATGATGGAGGCAGTTACTTAATACACATGCCTTGAGTCACTCTTCTGAGAGCTTTCCATATAATGGTGCATGCCATCCTCACAACACCCGTCTGATTTTTCTGGTTTGTAGATGAGGAAACCAGAGCATTCACAATCTATTGCTCAAGTCATGGGGTTTGAGGACACACCAGGTCTTGGTGTGCTCATTGTTTGTCCTCTGAGCTTTATGCTTCCTGTTTTTCAGGAGGAAACAAACATGAACACTTACCGTTGAAGACACAAAGACACTATGAAAAGCAAAGACCATGTGAATCCCAAATCAGAACTTTTCCTTCCTCCTATCCCGTTAAGTTAGAATGCTGAGTGGCATCCAGAACTCCATCCACAGTGTGTGTCAGCATCATATTTCCAAAAACTCAACCAATAGAGGACTATGCTAGTGAAAGAGCTAGGTAGCTTCTCACAAAAGAGAAGAGGGTTGTTGGGAAATCTGAGTTATGACTACTGCAGGACATTCCACCCCCTGCATACTTAGCGGCTAATGGTAGGTGTCACTAACCAGAGGCAGTGAAGGTCAATGGGAGAGCGAGAACCACAGAAGCATTGTGCAGCTGCTCAGAGCACCTGGTGTGCCTGACTTTCTGCATCTGCGTGTTCACACCTCAGAAAGATGGCAACAGGGAGGAAAGGAAAGAGCACAGATGAGCACATCAAAGGCAGTGTCAGGCTGGAAAATGAGCAGCTGCGACCGGCCATCTGCCTGAAGAATGCAAAGCCACAAGGTGTAGTGAGAAGGGGGTCATGTCGCCAAAGCCCAGACTCCTGGAATCTGAGAAGAACACAACTTCAGATGGTCACTGACCTGAGAGAACACAGGTGGAGCTCACCAGCAGGCTCCACATCATAGAATTTATTTGGAGGACAAACTGGGACTTGGGGCCTCAGCCAACAGACACAGAAACAGGAGAAAAACACAGGCTGCTTTTGTTTAGAACTCAGATCTGAAACTCCACTCAGCAAACCAAAGGCAGCCAGAGGAAAAGCATCTCTAACCAAGATGGGGAGGGGCAGTATGGGGGGGACAGGGGTGGGACGACTCTCAGAATGACTGTGGCTCAGCATGCAGGAGCACTCAACTTACAGCCATAGAATGTCAAAACCGCAGGGTATTTTTGGGCATTTGAGAAAATACTCAGCAAGCTGACAGACAGCACATTCCTGAGCAAAGATGCCCTGAGCACACAAAAGAGATGGCTGCTACAGGATGCTGAATCTAGAGACCACTGCCTCCTTACCAGCGACATGACTGGAAATTCGGAGTAAAAGAGGAAGAGGGAGTTGACAATAAAAGGATTTTTATTACTGCTGTTTGTAAATGACTTAACTGCCAAATGCAAGGAAATCGGTAACAGTAAATGATGTTGCTTAAAACAGCAAGGTTGCAAGGCTCAGACAATACCTATTTAAGCGAAGGACCAAGAAAAAGAAATAAAGAGAAATTCCAGCTATATCCCAGGCTCAAATAAAGGGTGTTAAAGAATATTGGGGTACTACACAGATCTATCCAAAATAAATTTTTAGAGTGCAGAAGTTGAGAACAAGCAGAAGGCAAGATCTGGTCCTGCTCAGATACAAAACATAAAAACAGCCGAGTCTGGAGGCTGATAAGCAAATTTAATATGAATAAGAACCCAGAAATAATAAACTGAGGGTAAATATCATAATTTTAATGTGGGCATAGAATAAGCAGTAAAAGATGGAAGTAACTGTCTTGGTAAGTTTTCTATTACCATAACAAACCATGGCTAAAGAAACTTTGGTTTCTTTGGTTCCTCATGGTTCCAGAGGGTTAGATCCATGACCATCAGGCAGAGAGTGTGGTGGAGGGCAGGGAGGCATGACGCAGCAGTAGCAAAGAGCTAACATCTCATCAGCAAGTAGGAAGTAGCAGTGCTAACTGGGAATGACAAGGGCTTTTAAAATCTCAAAGCCAGCCTCCAGTGACACATGTCCTCCAACAAGGACACACCTCCTAATCCCTCCTAAATAGTTCCACCAACCAGAAGCAAATATTCAAATACATGAACCTATGGGGGGGCATTCTTATTTAAACCACCACAGCAACTTATACTTCAAATGGCTTACCCCTGCAGCAAGCATTGAGGACACTGCCTCCTAAGAGGCTTGACCCCACCCACACCCACATGTATCTACAGACTCAGTATTCCACCATGAGGGTTCCCAGATGCCCTAGAGTCCCCCATAGGCTCAAGTGTGTGCTGTGATGGGGAGAGCCAGCTAGGCAGGGTCATGTAGCATCAATGCCTTGCACAGAGTCTATGTCCTCATACACCCACTTCTGCTAGGGTTAAGCAGCAGGGAGCGTTCAAGGCTGTGGCAGACTGGCCATAGCTGGAACATTGAGTCAAAGACAGTCCTGATGACTGTCTCTTCACAGGTCCTCCCTCTGGGCTGAAGCCTTTCTCTTCCTCATGTGCACCTTTCTAGGACCCTAGGGGCATGGTGCTGGCTGAAGGGGAATATGGAGTGCTAGGTTAGCACATAGATTACACGGCTTGGCCTGATTTTCTTGCCACTAAAGATGGCTCCATCTCTTTCTGACAGATCTGTTCCCTAAAAATTAGGGCTGCCTGCCTTGATCCCTTCAATGTATCTATAGCCACATACCACTACTCTGGCCTCTCTCGGCCACACCACCCTGCAGGGCCTCATTCACAGACATAGGGTGGCCTGAGCCCACACTCCCTCCCTGCAGTGTCTGGTCATTTTGCTCATGTGGGACCCGTAATGATAATTTGAGATGAGGGATGCATCAAGGCACTAGACAAGAGTGTCATGGGGGCACATTTCACAAACCACTAACAACCCTATCTTCCAGGGTTTAACACTGTGGCTTTAGTGCATTTACAGTGCTGTATAACCATCACACTGTCTAGTTCTAGAATGTTCTCATCATTCTAAGAGAATTCTGTCCAGTCAGACAGTCACTCTTGAGTCTGCCTCCTCAAAGCCCTTGGCCATGAATCCTGAGTCTACGTCCATGGGCTTTATCCAGACAGTCCCATGTACGGCCACCCCTGATGCATGCATCCTAAGTGAAAACCCATCTCAGTAGCATGGCACACTACAGAGAGTTTCCCTCTTAATTAAGAGTTGACCAGGTCGAGCATCCAGAGAACCAGACATAAGTCATTAGTCCAGGAGAAGATCCACCTTCAAAACTCATAGTACAGTGTCTACTTAATTCTGACAGCTTTTGATACCTCTGAGAAGCAGAGAGATTTTAAGCTGAGCCATCATAAGTTGGGAACTGTTTGTAAATGGAGTCTGTCTAAGCAACTCTCTGTGAGTGGTGTCCCATGCCCATGCTGTGTAGTACTTTTATTCATGTTATAGCACAAGCCAGGACTTCTTCTGGTTTAATGCCAAGCAACTTGTGATACTGGGGGCACACCCTTACTTGGCTCACTGGCCACCAGTCAAGGGACCTGTGGGACATTTCTGCCCTGTCTTGAGTAGAGTGATGATGCTTCAGTCATCACAGGTATGGTGGTTAGGAGAACTTAGATGTGTTTTAATCCTGAGACTGCCTAGTGGTTTAAAAAGCCCACGATGGATTTTAGAGTTGAGAACTAACCTGGAAATGTGACAGACTCTGAAGTCAGGAGGGTGATGGGTAAGGGCTGAGAAAGACCATATGGCTATAGCTTGATAGACTTCTTCCTGCCACTGATGGCTGGGGAGGGACCACAAGCTGAGTTTCCTTGGGAAGTCTTAGTGTGTAAATGGGGATTATCTCTCACCACTGACAGAGAATGAACCTTCCCTCCTTCCCAGTGGGTTCATGGCCACCCGTTCTGTATTCTCTCACCACCTTCCTGCTCTGAAGGAGACCTGGCTTTTCCTCACCTGCCTCCCCACCATATTTATGTGTGTGTCTGTCTGTCCGTCTGTGTGTGTGTGTGTGTGTGTGTGTGTGTTTGGGGGAGTGTAGGTGTTTGTATGGGGGTGCTCTTTAATGTGGGCCTCTTCTGTGTGGAACCCTTCTGTCCTGGCTGTGTGCTGTTCCAGGGTTCTGGTTATTCACACAGCCTCCAGATCTCCTCTTTCTAACTCCTAGCTCTGAGTTCCACATCCTCAGTGGCAGACATTACTGCCCCTAATGTTTCTGTGCTCTTCTGAGAGAAGAGCACTCCTTTTTGCCTTTCCCCTAGATGTTTGGCTACACTCAGTTTTGGCTTGTAAAATTGGTACCTAGAGCTGTCTGCTGGCCCATGTGCTCTGGGTGGCAGCTCTCACTATCAAGGATGGCACCTGCCCACTCCTGACCTCCTATAGGATCTCAGTTCCTTTACCACCAGGCATTCCTTTGGTACACGAAAATAAAGTGTTTTCACACCTACCAACTCCGTCTCCCCTGTCCTCTGCCACTGAGGGAGGCTTTGGTTCCTTGGCTAAGTTAGCTCTTCTCCCTGCTGTCCTGGGCTGGCCTTTTTACCTACACTTGTACCCTGTCTCATGCAGGGTACATGTACCATGTCTCATGCATCTTGGGGCCACACTGTCAAGTTCCTACTTGGTCTCCAGGAAGCTTAGACCTGATGTTGAACAGCCTTCCGTCTAGCTCCACGGGCCTCAATCTACTCTCCTGCCCTCCCCATACCCCACTCCCCACCCCATGCCAGGGAACCTCCAGGCTTAGGTTTCCTGGAAGACAGTACTGGGAAGCTGGCCCTGGAGTTGAGGTCTACAGTTGCCCCAAGAGATGCTGTAAGCCACTGCCCTGCATTGTGCTGGGAACTCTCTTCTGCCGTATGCAAACACTTGGAGCTACAGCTGTACAGGGTGGCTATGACCATGGCTGGGGCCTGGAACTGACTCCAGTTAGCCATAGCGCATGCTCATAACATGGGGTAACTGCAGAGCCAAGTATGTAAGGAGGTGACAGACACACACTGGGCAATGGCCTGCCGTCTAGGCGGAGAAGCAGAGCACTGATGCTTCCTCCAGATCTTTCTGGAATGCAGTTTAGGATCTGGGGTTCTCACAAGAAACCCATTCATAACTAATAGAAAAGCCGCTTCAGTCAGCCACGGGCATGTGACGGAAGCCTGGGGGTAGGCCCTCCCTCTGGGGAAGAAGGGAAACAGCCTAGTGTGTTTTTTAAACTTTATGAAAAATAAAAAGGAGGAGAGAAAAGGATGGTGGAGAGGAGGGTGAAGAGAGGAGGGAAAAGGCAGAAGAAGCCACCCTGGAGAAGCCACAAAGGCTAACAGGTAACCCACCACTTACAGGTTCGACATGGCTGGCCTCTTCTGTCTCTCCTTCACCCACCAGGAAGCTCTTTCTCGCCCTCCGAAGGCTGGCCTACTACAGAGGGAACCCCCAGAGGTTCCTAGAGGTTGGGGGCTCCTCTGGAGGGAGGGACAGGGACAGTGTGCAGCCTGTCACAGGGCGCAGGGAAAGGCTCAGAGAGGTGGGTCACCCTGCCGTCACCCTGTCACCCTCCCGGGAGCGCAGGCACGGGACTGGAGTTCCCTGCTTTGGTTGCTGCCTTGGGCTCTGGAACCTCACTTCTCCCATTAGAGCCGCTCCAAGCGGCCCTAGCAACGAAGACTCACGCGGTTCCCGTTTCCCTGGCAACGTGGTGAGGAACTAGGGGCGGGGCAGGTTCTGTAGCTGGTCGAGTGGAGAGCTATGTCCGGCTTTCGAGGTCCTGCTGGCTTGGTCCCACCTGCCTCTACCCGGGTCTTGGGCATAGATGGACCTTCCTGACAGCAGACCTCCGTCTTCCCATCTTCAGAGTGGGCGCAAAATTCACTCATTCATCCCGCACTCGGTGTTGTGTGTGTGTGTGTGTGTGTGTGTGTGTGTGTGTGTGTAAAGGAGGGAGGGACAGAGACGGGGAAACGCCAATACAGGAAACTTGGACCACAGACCCCTCCCCACATTACCGAGGGAGCGAAGGTGCCTGGAACCTCTCCCCACCCGGTAGCAGTCGCAGGGGAATTAAAGGGATCTGCTGAACCTCCAACTAGAAACTGCAGTGGAGACCGGATCTATGCCCCGCCTGGTTCCCCAAGTCCTTCTGGGGAGAGCAGCTGAGCAGACAACACATCCAGCGTTTCAGGGGTGCTCTTTAATGAAAGACAGCCATAAGAGCAAATGCAAAAGGAATTAAGAAAAGCCCAGAAAGGCCAGACATAACGCAGTTGCTCCTGACCTAGAAGGAAGCCCGAGTCACTCACAGTGACTGTGGCTTTTGACATGAGACCTTTTGGCATTAAGAGGGGCAGCTGATGTTCCTGAGGAGATGGCTCAGTTGGTGAATTCCTTGCGGGAGGAATATGAGAACTTGAGCTCGGATTCTCAGCACCCAGGTAAAAAGCCAGGTTCTGTGACACACATCAGTGATCCCTGTGGAGACAAGAGGATCTCTGGGGCACGTTGCCAGCCAATCTAGTCTGTTCTGTGAGCTCTAGGCTCAGGGAGAGACTGTCTCAAAAAACAAACAAACAAACAAACAAACAAACAAAAAAACAAGATGGAGAGCAGTTGAGGAAGACTCCTGGTGTTGATCTGGCCTCTATAAGTTCTATAAGTGCTGGTACGAGGGTGAGAGTGCCCCCCCAAAAAAAACACACATATGACACAACTCAAGGAAACAAGACATTTCTAAGATGAAAGGATTTAAGAATTAAAAAAAGAAACTTGCCATGCTCTGGGAGAACCAACAGCACCAGGAGCCAAGCTGGCTCTTAGAGACTAGATGCCAAATAGAAAGTGCAAAACTGCTGAGGGAGAGAGGGACCCAAGCTAACAGTCAAATAGCAAGGCCTGGGGGCCCTAAATTAGCAGGTTAACAAATGCAAATTGAGATCCCAGGACCCCACAGCTAAACCCTAAGAGGATGCATGAATTCCCTTCCTTCACCAGCATCCCTAGGCAAAGGTAGAAGAAATAACCCAGTCAGGACTCAGCTGGCAGAGAGCAGTGCCAGCTGTATATAACCAATACGAGTCACACATGAGCTCTTCTAGACAGTAAACTTGTTTGTTTTTTTTTTTTTTTGTTAAAGATTAATTATTATGTATACAGTGTTCTGCCTGCACTATGCTTGCAGGCCAGAAGAGGGCACCACATCTCATTGCAGATGGTTGTGAGCTACCATGTGGTTGCTGGGAATTGAACTCAGATCTCTGGAAGAACACCCAGTGCTGCTAACCTCTGAGCCATCTCTCCAACCTGACAGCTAACTTCTTGATGATGGCTAAAGAAGGTACACATGGTGTTAAAAAGAAAAATCACAGCCTTCTGTATGCAGAGACCACTGCTCCCTTGAGTTAGGTTCCAGGGTCCCAAGCATGGGTTTACTCAGGTGATGTCGTCTGGTGATGCTGACCATCTTTCCACTGTTGACAATTAGGCAAGGCGGAAACAGAGCCAGAGGGCATAAGCAACTGGCTTCAAGGCTGCACTCAAATGGACTGGGGTTAATTTAAATGACCATCTGGTTGGGCTTTGAAGACCACAGTTTTCCCTGTATAAAGATAGGAACGACCACACCTTGCTTCATCATGATATCCTTGAGAAGACAAGCAACGGGCCCTCAACAGTCCTGCTGAGGGACAAACAGCAAAAGACTCTGTCTCTGCCTGGGCACCAACACTTGCCTTGATTAAAATTTCTTCCTGGTTTCTGTGAGACCAGAACACTTAGCCATCAGGGAAACCTGACACTCCTGGCTGAGTGGACAAAACTGAAAGTCCACCTCATCCTCAGACTTTAATAATTTACACCGCCTTGGTGTTGGGCTGCCAGGTCATTGGGAAGGGGAAGTTTCTTTTTGCTGTGTTTGGATCAAATAGACCTTTATGCTGCCCTTTGAAAGGCCCAATGAGGCAGCAGACAAAGATGCTTCAGTGTTGTGAATTGCCTTTGTGTATTTGGGGAGGAAGTGACCATCGGACTACAGGCTATTTGTATGATGGACACTTCCCTGAAAGTGACTAGGCCTTGAGGTGGCCATGGACAGGCACTTGAGCTATGCCTGTATCAGATGCCTAAAGGTGACCTCTGAAGACACATCAGCAGTTTAGAGGTCAGAGGGGACAGAGCAGAGCACAGACATGCCTGGAAGTCTAGGAGTGGCTGTGTCCCTGGGGGCTTGGGCTGTCTAGCGAGTCCTGGGAGTCTCTTGTCCTCTTATGTTGGGTGTTTGTCCCTTGGTTCTTTGGTGCAGGTTTTTTTCTGCCTTGATATGTCATATTATTTCTGGAAAAAGGCAGATGTTAGGGAAGGAGGCAAAGAGGGTACTGGGGCCTTGAGAAGGGGTTTCTGGAGTCCCCATGGGGTTCCACTGAACTGGATGGATAGTGAAGGGGCATCTACCCTGGTGGCAAGAGAAGGCCATGCTGGCCCTTGCAGCCTGAGTTGTCCCTGAGAGTCTAGGCTCCTGAGCACCTAGTGCAAGAGGAGAGCACAAAAACCCTCTTATTCTTCTGGCATGTAGGCTCAGCTAGCCCCTGTCTAGCCTCTGCAACAGTAGCAATTTTGTGGGTGGTTGAACTCCCACACTAGTCTCCCTGAAGTCTTGCTGCCTGTGGTTCATTGCTGTATTGTGGTGGGTTTCCTCTTTCTGTGGCTTTTATCAGAAAATAATGATGCCACCTCCTAGGAAGGAGCAGTGGGTATCAGGTTGGCTCATCGAGAGTCCTTCTCACACACCGTGTCTATTTCTGGGTAACTGTTCTACCCTGGTGTTTCATGGGGTACTCATGGCCAGAGGACTCTATCAGCCTGCACTGTCTTCTGTCATCATGTGGTGGCTCATCATTCCAGCAAGGCCCATGCAGTCCCTCAGGTCTAACCAATGCCACTGATAAAGATGCCTCCCCTGCCAAAGCTGAGGCGCCCTCAGCACATCTCAGCCAAAAGGAACAGTCAGTGTCAACAGCCCAGAAGCCCACATGCTCCTACTGTCCTGTCCTCAGCTGTTCCCTGAGATGGAGACAGTGGCAGGTGCTGCTGACACACGGCTTCATTTAGCGTTTACAGCATCATTCTTACCCATGAAGCCAGAACCCCAGGCTTCCATCTTCCTATTGCTCTGCTGGTGTGTTTGTGGGCAGCCCAAGACAGTGGTGCTTGCTATGTCTGCTTTCTCTACAGTCTCAGAAATCATTTTAATGATCCATGCTGCTGGGATCATAGGAAGTTCAGAGGCCTCAACTCAACTGTGTTATCAGTGAAATGTTATCCTTCATGACCCCAGTCTTCATGATTCATTGATGATCCTGTCAGAGCAGGAATTTGGCCTCCCCAGTCACACCTAAGTGTCTCCACTCCAGCTTATACCTTATTTACCTCAGCTCTCAGGTCCTTTTCCTGCCTCCATGACAGGCACACCACCACTGTCCACAGGGACCCTGGAAACTTCCTCTCAAGGCCCCAGTAACCTTCCTGCCTCCTTCCCTAACATCTTCCCATTTCCCAGAAATAACAAGGCAGGAAAACTGCTCCAGAGAGCCAAGGGACAAACACCCCACATAAAGAGGACAAAGGCTTACTGGGCAACCCTGGGGAGAGGACAACCAGGTAACCTTAATCCCAGAAGCTGAGTAATCCCCCAGGAACACAGCCAGTCCTAGACTTCCAGGCATGCCTGGGCTCTGCTCTGTCCCCTCTGACCTCTGAACTGTTGGTGCATGTTCAGAGGTCACCACACAGGCCTTGGTGAGTGCTGAGGTTTCTTCTTCCTCTAGAAAAACACTTTAGCAGCTGTGCTTTGCTATGCTGGACATCTGAGGCCCACGTCACTGTTCTAGTTTCCTTGCGTGTGACCAGTATCTCTTCTGCAGTCACTGCATTTTGCCTTAAATGAGAAATGCCTTATTTCATGCAAAGTGTGACAGTCTTCTTGAATAGCCTCCTTGGCCAGACTACCAGGTCTCTGGGAAAATTCATCTTCCTTGTCCTTTTGAAGTATACTAAACTAATGGGACAGATATTTGCTAGTGAAAGCACAGTACTCCTCGGAGTAGCATGAAAAACCACAATACTCTACTCAGTGCTGTGCTGAGTATCCCACTCAACACTATGCCAAGCACAGTACTCCGTTCAGTACTCTGCTTAGCACAGTACTCTATGCAGCCGTAGAATAGGGAGTCGCGACAGAAACTCAGCTTTTAGGAGGTGAGTGGGAGACAAAGGCAGTGTGTGAACAGATCTCCTCTGGAAGCCAAGTTATAAACTGGATGTTCAATTAATACCAGTCAGTCAAAATGGCCAGCCCCTGTTCTTC